CACCCTCTTCCTGGCCTAAAACCTGCCTGGTTTCTTCGTCTTTGTGCCTCCCGAGCACCACTTAGTCTACGCATGATTATTGAGCCTAGGATTTTAGATACTACATTAGTCAAGCTAATCCTTCTGTGATTATCACAAGAAGACTTGTCTCCCTTCTTGTATACCGGGATGATCAGTGACTTACACCAACCCGACGGGACTTCCTCTGATTCCCAGACGCTGCCTAGAACCTAAGTTAATGCAGACAGTAAACTGTCTCCACCGTACTTAAATGCCTCTGGAGTCATTCTATCAGGTCCTGCTGCTTTGCCTTGTTTCAGATTAGTGACAGCTTTAGTAACCTCAGTTAAGGAAGGAGGACCTGTGTCTATATCCCATTCAGAGAGGTGTTGGATGTTCGGCAGGTTAAGTGTGGCTGTAGGCCAATTAAATTGCTCCTAATAGTGTTCTTTCCAGCGTTCCAGTCGTCTATCCTGGGAGCTAATCATGGTGCCCTTTTTTCTCCGAGATTGTTTCACTTATCGTTTGCCTTTCGCCACCTGTTTCCCTGATAAGCCTGAATAGTTGTCTGGTGTTGCCAATCGCCAATGCCTTTTCTATATTTTTCGCTTTTGTCGCCCACCACTGTTCACGGTCGTTGCGAAGACTTTTTGTTGGTTTTCGTTTAAGTACGTTTCGCTCTTCATTATAATCGGAGCTCGCTGGAATCAGTCTTCTTGCGTCAATCAGTTCGGATGAGGCGGTAGAGATCCAATGGCTTTTATTAACTTGAGGTTTTAGCTTATTAACAGCTTTCACAGCTGTGTCTACAGCTAACTGTATGTTGTGCCAGGCTACCTCGGGGGAAGTCCTGCTGTCGACCTCAGAAACTCGTTTCGCTATTTCTTCCTTAAATATGGACTCAGTGTCTCGATCTAGGTGGGGACGTAGCTGTTTCGCTGCCGTCAATTTCTTATGTCCATTTAGTCGTAAGCATAGACGTGCGCGAACCAGAGCGTGATCAGAGTCTACGCACGTGTTCCAGAAGGAGCGGCAGTCTTCTACTGACCCTCGCCAACGATACCCTACGGCGATGTGGTCTATCTGAGTCCAGCGTTGATTTGGTGATGGAGGTCGCCAGGTTACACAATGTCTCTCTTTGTGCCTAAAGTTAGTGGTGACTAGGAACAGATGATTATCTGAGCAAAACTGAAGAAGACGATCACCGCTGTAGGTTCGTCGGCAGGGAACTCCATACGTACTACCTACATACTTCTCAGTCTGGCACAACTTCCCTACTTGGGCATTGAAGTCGCCTGCTAAAACAACTGTGTCTGAACGTGATTTTTCTGCCCTAACACTCAGTGCTATCCCTACACCTGCGAGTCCTCGTGAGCTAGCTGAGGGGTCTCCCGATACCCTTAAAGTGAATTTTGAAGATTCACCTTGTTACAAATTTCATTCGTCATATCCTTGCCGGAATTCGCACAAATATTGAGTAGTACAATCTTTCGTATTTCCTTCAACAGTTCACTTTTGGGGGTAACTGCGCACACCTCCCATTGATTTCACACCAGTACTTTACATTTAAAGTGTGTAAACATCACACAGATATATTGAACTCTAGTTGAATAAATGCACCTAGAGTAATCCGTGCTATCTCAAAACAGGTGATATTGTCAGCATATGCAACATCCCATAGCCATTCTTTAGGCAGCGTATCTAAACCACCACTACCCACGCTTTTCATGGCTGCCTCTACGATGCCGTTGATGAAAATGTGGAAAGGAAATCGCGAAATTGATCAGGCATTGCTGACGTCATCGTCAATTGAGGACAACAATGACAGGTGATCATATGATTTCCTTCTATCTGAGCTGTCCACCTATAAGGCCTTCAAAATGTTCATAAATGCTTTTAGGGCCACCCCTCTGTGACCGGTAATTTAAATGAATAGTCCAGTTGGGCAGTTCAAAATCAAGAAATACAATTACCATTGCCTTGCAATACATGCAACAGTTTTTCAGTAAATGGGGGAGAGTAAACACAACCAAAACCATGTCACGTGTCGACTTCTCACAAACTTTTAAAGTCTGTGAAGCAGAACAGTAGCCAGTATTTTTGATGCAACTGGTAATAGACTAGTAACTTAACGAATCTGGCATTTATTTAGAAGGCTTTTCTAAAAAGCATGTAAAATTATGTCGTCACTTCAGTTAATAAGACACTGTCCTTCAAACCTCTGACTACAGTTCATATCCCGTAATAAGATTAAGTGTATGGACAAAACTCAAAACGATGCCTCCTAACAAACCGTGTATGACCAGCTTCAAGCGGGTGTCACCTGAACACTGTGGTCCGACAACACTAATAAATTTTTCCTACACAAAACATGGAGTGAAATCTTCGAATTTGTCGACCGTTTCACTTGAGAAGTTGCACCAGCCCGAGTAAACTGATTACTGTCAGTCTCAGCTTCGGATCCAAAAAGCTCGGGCTGCTTTCGCTAACTTACACCGTCTCTGGCGTAGGCGTGACATCCGACTATCAACCAAGGGACGTGTGTACTGCTCAGCAGTTCGCTCCGTCCTTCTCTATGGTGGTGAGACGTGGCCATTGAGAGCGGAAGACATGAAGAGATTGTCTGTTTTTGACCACAGATGTTTACGATCTCTTTCTCACGTTAGGTGGCATAATAAGGTAAGTAATGTTGACGTAAGGCGTAGAGTATTGGGCAAAGAGGGAAAATCAATCGACGAGGCTATAAAGTTACATAGATTGAGATGACTAGGTCATGTGCTCCGCATGCCTAACCATCGCCTCCCCCGACGGACGGGCATTACTAGCTGATATAGGTGCAGGTTGGAATAGAGTAAGTGGTGGCCAAACAAAAACATGGCATCAATCCATGAAATCCTTGACAGTTAAACTGAGTCAGGTAGGGAGATGCAGACTTCCGGGTTGGGGCCCTCGGGACTCTAAGAATCGATGGCTGGAGACAATAGGTGACATGGCTCAAAATCGTTGTCAATGGCGCAGATGTATTCAGTCTCTTTAATCTTTCATATTCCTTTCTACCTTTACTCATTCTGTTTCACTCTTATACTTGTCTAAATTCCATTGATTTTCTTCACTCATTTTCCTGTCTACCTTTGTGTGCTATTCGAAACGTGGCAACTCGAACTGCTGTACTTCGGTACCAAGTTCTATGTTGAATCCAGCAGCAGCAGCTCAGCATTGATACAAAAGGCTTGTTCAGCATTTAACAAATCATCTTTGGCACAGGCACGATATCCCGCTATCAAACATAGGACGTGTGTCCTGTGCAGCATTACTCTTCTTCTACCTAGTTCCCGCCTGATAATTGGCTTTAGAATATGTAAAGATTATCCCTGTATAATCAAAGGTGCTTGACTTCAAAATTTAGTGTTAGGTGGTCAGTAATAATGAAGTGGGGTGTAGTTTTAAGTACAGAGAGAAAGTAAGTAGGTGATACTTGGAAGCTGCATCGAATGAGATGGATAGAACTTGAAATACCCATCACAAGCGATTGTCTTTCACGATGAACAACGATAACTGGAAGACAGTAAAGAGCAGTGAAACGCAAACTTAGTGCCAATTAATCGTTTCTGCTGTGTAGGACAACGTAGAGGGGCGTGGAATAATCAAAAAAGATCACAAGGATGCACAGAATCAATAAATACAGATTGCCAGTTAAGCAGTTCGAAATAGTTCTCAATGACCACAACGGCCTACTCCGTGACTTCAGCCAGATTCTAACTTTAAGATATACTTCATATATATTCTGAATCTCTCATTGTTATAAAGAATGATTCTGATTCTTAGGACTTACAGTTTCAATGGCAACTATTTTCTAATGCTATTCACCAGATTAAGTTTTTAGATTATGCAAGACGACTCCATCTAAGTTCGTAATTTATCAACTTTTCTTAATATGATTTCCTGTTTTTTACCAACCTCCTATTATTGAACTCTATTAACATTTCCCACGACTTTTCAGAAACATTTAACTAGGATGAAACAGCTATCCAGTGATTTTCAATGGTTCCCTAACTGATATCAATCCGTGATCAACTCGTAAAAAGTTTAACTGTAGAATCTGATGAGTCGTCAGGAAAAGAGTATTTATCTTTGAGTGTTCATTAACCTACAACTGATTACTCCTTTTGGTCACTGACTTAAAATAATTTTCCATTATTTCAATATGGGCTTTTCCAACAAGTACAGAATCGAATGACGTACTTCGTGTAAAGTTCCACATCCTTAGCTAGTCAGTACGAATAAATGCACCCACTCAAATTATTCTCAAAGGATAGGTTTGACAGATATGCCAGTAAGTTCTGATTCTTTGGACGCTATTTACTGCACTGATCATCTTTGAGAAGCATGCCAGTTACCAAAAGTGGATGAGAGGAAAACTTTAACAAAGCATGACAAAAGCAAACATCAACAAAATACTTGAAATGTCACAAAAAAACATCCGTTGGTCTGGTATTGAACGAGATGTAATACAGCTCAATGTACCAGCTTCATGCCTTAAATTTCGTGTCCAACGTCAATGCACTAATCATAAACATTCAGCTTTAACATATATTCAACCAGAAGAAGCCTGTTTTAATCCCTGCAGGACACAATTTTTAGGAATCCGCCTCCTTAATAAAAGCGTCCAAACAAGTATCTAGTGCTACCCACTGCAGTCCAGTCGTTGACCACCCGATGCAAAATATGACCTCTACCCGTGCGTGATCCATCTACGTGGTAGTCGAATACTTACTAAACCAGTTATCTGGGACAAGTTTATCATGTACCACATCTCCACTCACCACTCAAGCATATTGAGTCCTCATTTTCTTGAAAAGTATCAAAGAGATTAAGTTTCAATAGAAATATTGCCTGAAATGACCAACAGCAGCTACTCAGTTCACTCTTAACTTAATTGCACAAAATATATTGACCATTCTGTATATAAGGATATCACTAAGTTTTAAAAAACGACTCACCTGAATACTGTTTTCCTTGACTAATTGAGCACAGTCTTGTATAACTGCGTCAGGAACATCGTCAAGTGATTCGCCTTCTTTGAGTCGTAAATAAACATGGGCAGATGACAAGGCATCCACGTGAAACCAGATGTCTTCAGGCCAGCCCCACCGTATGAGCTCGTCATTTTCATGCTTATCTTCCCCCATATATATAGTGTAAGGAGGATGAACAAGTTCACATTTAAAAAAGAGAACCATTTCCAGACACGTCTGAAAGCAAACTAACTGTAGCGAGTAGTTCGTAAACGTGTTGCTTTGAGAATGCTTCATCATTGGACACTTTTTAGTTCTCAGAAATGTGTAACGAGTTTTTTCCAACTTCTCTTAAGCTTTGTAAATGCAATCCCCTTTCCTACTCATTACTTGTGCTTTCCCTTTTAGTTTATCCTTTATTTTGCGCAAAACATTTTCTAAAATATCACTGTTAGTATATGATTTGTATTTCAAAATTGAGAGGTGATTGATTAAAGACTAAATTTATTCTGCTATTACGTCTTGTTTTTTAAAAGCCTTAACATTTTTTACTCAAGAACGTGCGATCGTGCTAAGACTAAAGAAAATGGGGGGCAGAAAATACATGTTCTTGAATAGAATTCTGTATGAAAAATCATTGTCCAGGTATAAATGATTCAAACCTGATTTTCTTTCTTATTGGTGTTATTTTAGGCATCCTCTGTTCTGAGTGGAACATTGGGGTTCATTGGCATTTATCCAGTTTACCTAGTTCCTCGTCATCACATTAAACTGGCTCGATGATTCCCTCTGAGCATTCATTTTCTCCGCAAATAGTGTCCCCATCTCAATCGCCGAAATCGGTGCCATCGCCCACCATTCAGCTACCACCCAAGGAAGTGAGGAGTGATGTCACTTATCAGCTTCCTTGGAATGTGTTCAATCAGCATGTATGTTGGCCAATGCGTTCTTGGTTTGTTCATCGTCAAAACTCATTGTTGCCAGTCCTTGCTGATCAGCTGTCAAATCTTGATTGTAGAGTGACGGCAAATGTTCATAAACGTCTGTATCAGCCTTTTAGGGATGCTTTTAGTGACGTGTAAAGCCTCTGATTTAAAATTGGTATTGAAAGTCCAGATATGGTTTCGTTTAGTGTAGCCGATTTTCACACTGATTTCAGGCGAATGAATGTCCCTGTCATATTTTCATATCTCAGCCGCCCTCATATCTTTATCCGCTTGTAGATGAATTTATGTTCACTATGTTTCTCTAGGTGCTGGCTTTTGATGGCTAAGTAAATTCAGTACCTCTGTTTTCCGTATGCTAACATGACGTCCTGTCCTCACTGTTTCTTCTAAGAAACTGGTTCAGATTGCAGATCTTCGAGTTTATGTCATCGGGGCAAATATCATCGGTCAGGTCTAGATCTTCATCTACATCTACACCTTTAAAATGATTACCTTGTAGCAATAAATAATTCCCTACAGCATCAATCACTTGGTATCGGATGATGATTCTCACTTTTTAAGTCGTTTCGTTTATGTGAAGGCTGGCGGTCAAGCGTCCAGGCTATTTGGCACGCCATTATGTTGCGTTTGTAGTCGATCCGTTCACAACCCCAAGGTAGAAAAGCAATAATCGTAGCACTAAGATTATTATCCCAAAATATATTTCGTATTTTGGACGCTCAAATTGGGGTTTTGATTTGTCTTTGGTTCAAGCTTGACAAATACTGTAGTAGTTCCGATGATAATAATATGCTTTGGCCTATATCGTTCTTTGTATAAGTCTCAGGGTCGTTCCATTTTCCAAAATATCCATGGTAATTAAATTATCACATAAACTGAGGACGAACTGTTTGTTGAATTTTGGCTATAAGGCAAGGATGAAACCCACCGACTTTCCAGCGTTTTGTATGAAACACCTGAATCCTGGGTGGCTGTTTCTTTGTCCAGCCACTTAATACGAAACCTACCTTTTATATACCAAGGTACTCTGACTCATTCCCAAACTATTAAGTATTTATGCCAGTCGAATAGTTCAAACTGCATTTTTGCATGATGTCAAAAGGAGATGAGGAAAGGCCACAACACAATAAACGCACTGTGGTGGACATTAAATCACAGCTCGCGGCTGACGAATTCCACATCTCCTTCCTCATTCTTGGGAATATTTTGTAAGGAAGGACCATCCATGAAGTTAACGTGTATGTTGTTAAACTCCTTGTCTATGTCCATGCTTTTACGTTTATTAGTTTGTAGGTAACAATTCTGGCAATATAAAACTGACGAAACATTATTATCAGGTAAAGCCACTTAATCCTCACTCTATCTCCGCCCAATTTGTCTACCTTAATACCATATAGCTTCGTGACGACACCTGAATGTGAGACATTTTGGACAGCCTTATCAAAATTAATAAAAACAATGTTGTCATGAAGGTTGACATCGATCTCTGTCCTGAACATCCTCTGAGTCCAAGATGAATAGCCAACTTATGATAACTTTCCATTACACTACGCTATTTCATAATAGAGAACCTTGTTTTTTGGTATGTTAATTGGAAGCACAGTGGAGAGTCATCCCGATGTAAGTGTCAGAATGATAGATACAAAGGTGAATCGCATATTTTGGCTTAGACAAGGGAACTAATAATAGCATCTATGCAGCCTCCAGAAACATGAATATGTGGGAGACACCAGCGGCTCTTTGATTTTGGATTCAACCGATTAACATTCATCAACTGAGCTTCCTCTTATTGGTCCTGTTAAGATCAGTGCCGCAAGGGTTTCCCTTTTAAAACCTACTTTCCCTTATTTTAGCCATCTGAAAAGTCTACTAAGATCCCACACCCAAGATTTTCTGTGTGCATTTAGTTTTTTTAAGAATAAAGACACTCGATGTCTCCTAATTCATCTAGACACTGATAACTTTTTCGTTAGGGTTTGAATCTCCACTTTTGTAATGCACGTAGTTTTGGTTAGAGTGCAAGAAAGAAAATTTATTCGACATACATTATGCTGTAGCAAAACAACAGACATTTTTTGAGTGGGTCGACACACGTTTACACAGCTTTATTTTTGACATCTAGCTTCTTAGGATGGAAGTATAGTTGTTTATAATATTTGCACAGGGATTCTCGACACATCTCACTATGTATCCGCGAAATAGCCCACACTGACGGAAACTCATTTACAACCGGAGACGCGTTGAAGAGTTTTTCTCTTACAGTGTCCTCGTATTACATAACTAAGAAAGGCGTTGTTGAGTTTGATGTTAGCCAAAATTACAAAGTGACACTCGCTACCACTCCGTTATCCTAAGATCAGATATGAAGAGGTGTTGTTGAAGAAGGGGTACCCGAGACCTGATAAAACGTGGTGAGTTAACTATTTGCAAAACCTAATATGTCAGTAAGAAATATGCTTGGTGCAACACCTGCAACAATCACAGACAAAAACTTTCCGCGCCTTTCAGTATAAATTTATTATTACGGTGCATCGCCCACGAAAAAATGAAGCCTACCAGCAATTAATTCATTCACATTAATTAATCATCTGCATGATTGACTTACTGGTTTTACAGGCATGATTATATCTGGCAAGTAGAAGATTAGATGGCACACTGTTTTATGTCATAAATATTGAAAAGAGAAGAGAAATTCTAGGAAATATATAAGTGATTTGTAATTTTTACTTTTAATCTAGTAGGTTATTAGATATTGGTTTAAGTCTAATTTTTGGTCGCTAATGTACCTATGGTCTGTCATTTGGACACGGGAGCTACAAATGTTTGTTACTTTTGTTTTACTTTTATTATAGCTTGATTCCACACCATGAAACTTTCAGCATGAGATATTAGTAGCCCGAATTTAGCAGACCGGCCATTGCTTTCACGTGTGTATCGGCTGTGGATCGAGCCTTAGACCATGTGAATGGTTGGCAAGCGTCCTAACTGCTGTGCCACTGACGCAATTATATGATACACAGATGCTAGAGTAAGACACACAAAATGAAGAACTCACAATCATTATCAGTTAATCAGTTATAAAGGGTTTGCAAATTTATCAAGTTCTGCAGTAGATTTTCATTTGCAGATATTTGGGACCGACTTTCTGATGATAAAGATGTTTCACGATGGAGGTTGTTCCGTTACTCATCGTATCTGCTAACATTATTCAGAATGTCTGCCAAATGTAGGTTCTAGTGATTTCAAAACTTCGTTCAATTGATACAAACGTAGAAAGCAGTATAACAGTAAGAGAGGTACGGGGGCAGCCAGCTTATATCAATAATTTAAAACAAACAATACGTGATAAACACAGGGTTCATTCACTCTTTTGTTACCAATAATTGGTCGTTAATGAAATGATAATCTTTGAGAAAAAAGTGGGAGTATGAGAAATAAAGGAGAAGAACACTATCACCCCATTCGCATTTTCCATCGACTAAAAATTTTAATATGAAATTTGTAACAGGAATGCAACTAGGTCAGGGAGCAGAAGAGTTATCCTAGAATACGCAGCTGGCACAGCAAGCCCTTTAATCTCTACTGAGGACGGAGTAGGTGTCGCCTTTAACTCAGATTACTTATTCTCCCTATTTGGTGCTACACACTGAAAATGGGAATCAAGAAATAGTAACCACGAAGTCTGTCTGCCGTAAAATCGTTAAATGAACGGTATAGTATTTAGTCGATTCAGTCTCAGTAGGTAAATAGCTAGATTTTCTTAATGTCCGTCGACGAGCCGGGGGAGAAAAACCTCTAATAATGAGCTTGGAAACCACACCCCGCAGAGAACAGTAACATAACTGCCAAAACTTCAAAGCATAGAGAAGCATGCTTATTCGCCACTTTGATCAAAAATATTTTAAATTTCAAGGACGGATGACTCCAGCTGGTTAAGGACATCTGGAAGCCATGAATTCTTTCTATATAGGCGGCAGTAAGCATGAGGACAGGGAGTGTCCACCCGCATTTGAAGGCTAATGAAATCCACAACAGTTAATCTAAGCCACGTAGGAAGATGTAGACTTCCTGGTTGGGGCCCTCGGGATGGTAAAACCAATGGTTGGAAACAATTGGTGACATGGCTCAAAATCGTTCTCAGTGGCGCAGATGCATCCACTCCTTGTGACTTATGATTTCCAATTAAAACTTTTGTTCTCCGTTATTACTATTCCTTTGTCTCACACCTCTGTTTACTGTCTATATTATGCATTTCTTCTACTTTCTTCTCTTGCTTTGCGTGCTACATAGATTGTGGCGACTTGAACTGCCGCACATATGTGCAAAGTTCTATGTCGAAAACCGACCGAC